CAGGTCAGGTGGCGGGCCAGCGGGTGAGGCGGCGGGCCTTCAGGTGAGGTGGCGGGCCAGCAGGTTAGGCGGCGGGCCGTCAGGTGAGGCGGCGGGGCCGTCAAGTCAGGTGGCGGGCCAGTAGGTGAGGCGGCGGGCCGTCAGGTGAGGCGGCGGGGCCGTCAGGTAAGGTGGCGGCGGGCCGTCAGGTGAGGCGGCGGGGCCGTCAGGTAAGGTGGCGGGCCAGCAGGTGAGACGGTGGGCCGTCAGGTGAGGCGGGGGGGCCGTCTGGTGAGGTGGCGGGCCAGAAGTCGAGGCGGCGGGCCGTCAGGTGAGGCGGCGGCCGTCAGGTAAGGCGGCTGCGGGGCCGACAGAGGTGCAGCGGGGGGGGGGGGGGGGGGGGGGGGGGCCTGCTGCAGCGACGAAGAGGCCGCGCGGCCGTCTTGAGGGCGGCGCGGCGCGGCAGAGCCGAGAGGGCGGCGCGGCGCGGCTGTAAGGGCCGCGCGAAGTGGGGCCTGAACCGCGCGCAGCGAAAAAAAATGAGTCGCGCGCGCGACTCTCGGGGCGCCACAAGGGCAGCTCGACGCGCACTAGGGGGAGCGCGCCTCGGGGAGAATAGGGCGCGCTCCGGGCAGGAAAAAAATCGTGGGTGGGCCCAAGGAACGGTCCTTAGGAGGGACCCGCTCTATACCATGTGAAACTAACTGAACAGGAATGAATTGACTAAGTCAGAGTTGGGTACAAATACAACCCTAGCAAACTATACCCCATATGTGCTACCCCACTATAGCCTACAAACATGCATCAGCTATAATAATCTGACAAACGCAAGCGCTCAGATCTCGCATAGTACATGGAATCAAGTGGTCTCACTCAAATAGAAAGTAGGAAATATATTCATCTAGTGAACGTAAGAGTTTGAAAGGTAACTAACGCACATGTGTAGAGAAAATGGTGCATCGGCCAGTCTGGCCGGCATTTCGCACTTATAGTGCAACTAGGGCCAAGGAGAACGGAAAAGCTCATTTCTCAAAAAAGAGAGCCAATCTAGCGGTCTCACTCGATCAGAAGGTGGGAAATATATAAATCTAGTGAGCTAATAAGGTTCGAAAGGAATCTAATGCATATGTATATGGAAAATGGTGCATTGGCCAGGTCGGTCAGTATGGGAACTTAGAGTGCAAATGCCTGGGAGAACAGAACTGCTCAGATCTCGCATAATAGACGGAATCTAGTGGTTTTACTCAAATAGAAGGTAGGAAATAAATTCATCTAGTGAACGTAAGGGTTTGAAAGGTAACTAACGCACATGTGTAGAGAAAATGGTGCATCGGCCAGTCTGGCCGGCATTTCGCACTTATAGAGCAACTAGGGCCAAGAAGAACGGAAACGCTCATTTCTCAAAAAGTAGAAGGAATATAGCGGTCTCACTCGATCAGAAGGTGGGAAATATATAAATCTAGTGAGCTAATAAGGTTCGAAAGGAATCTAATACATATGTATATGGAAAATGGTGCATTGGCCAGGTCGGTCAGTATGGGAACTTAGAGTGCAAATGCCAAGGAGAACGGAAGCGCTCAGATCTCGCATAGTACACGAAATCTAGTGGTCTCACTCAAATAGAAGGTAGGAAATAAATTCATCTAGTGAACGTAAGGGTTTGAAAGGTAACTAACGCACTGTGAAATGAGTAAGCAGGAATGGATGAACTAGAAGGGAAATGAGTACAAGTAGTAAACCCTAGAATTGTGTACCCCCTATAGGCTAACCCACTGTAGCCTACACAAGCATAACATATATAATGTTTGACACACCCCCATAGGCAAAGTGGGGGAGAACAAGGGGTCACAAGACCAGTCAAGCAAAGCAAAGCAAAGCTCAGGGTGGATCACAAAGTCACCACACAGTCCGAGCACAAGAGCAGGGCCAGAGGCCAGTTCACATGCAGGAGTACAGACATATATATAAAACTAGACAAGCAAGAGCAGGTATATATATATGTCACAGTACAGGTAAAGTCAAGAGGAGAGCAAGTGAGGCAAGACAGGCACAAGACCCAGCTGGGTGCAAAAGCGCTGATGGTTACAAGGCGCGAGTGCCTTGGTGAACACATCAGCAGTGTTGGCCTCAGAGGCCACGTACGCAAGTCGCAACTGACCACGCTGCTGCAGCTCACGAGCAAGGAAGTAGCGGAGAGCAATGTGCTTCGTTCTGTGCTCCAAGCGCTGCTCTCGACACAAGGCAAGCATGGCCTTGTTGTCTACGTACAGCACTGGAGGAGAACGAGGCGGCTCTCCAAGGTCAGTCAGCAGGTAGGTGAGCCAGCGAAGCTCCTGTGCAGCCATGGCCCCGGCGTAGATCTCAGCCTCACAACTGGAGCCGAGAACCGAAGACGAGCGAGTAGACCGCCACGAGACAGAGCCGGAACCAAGGCTGAAGGTGTAACCCTGTGACGACCGCTGCGTAGCCTGGTCGTCAGCCCAAGAAGCGTCCGCGTGGCCGGTAAGGACCACTGGACTCCGCCCTCCAAGCACTAGCCCCATGCCCGACGTACTGCACAGGTAGCGCAATACCCTCTTCGCTGCAGCCATGTGCTCCGGTCTGTGTCTCCCAGGAGCAACATAGCGTGCAAGAATGCTCAGAGGGTATGCAAGGTCAGGTCGTGTGCAGGTCATCAGGTACATGAGGCAGCCAACAAGCTCTGCATACGGACCACTCGACTCTACGGACTCATCCGAAGGCAGAGCTGAGAGTGAGTGGCGAGTAGGCAGAGGAGTGGCCTGAGGCGAGGAGTACGTGAAGCCGAAGCGCTGAAGGACCTGCTGCACCATGTGTGACTGAGTCAAGGTAATGGTGCGGCGTGCTCTGTCCCGAGTGATCTGCAAGCCAAGGTAGCTGCGCAGTTCACCCAGGTCTGTGCACGTGTGTCTCTTCAGCAGCTCGGACTTCACGTAGGCGAGTCCAGCAGTGTCCGCTGTGGCAAAGACCAAGTCGTCGACGTACACGAGGATGTAGAACGGCGGCAGGGAAGTGTCGGTGCGAAGAAACAGCGACGGGTCAGCAGTAGAAGGAGCAAACCCAAGAGCCGCAAGCGTAGTCCTCAGTGTGTCGTGCCACTCACGCGGTGCCTGGCGGAGACCGTAGACTGGCCGTCGGAGGCTCCACTGGGTGCCAGGAGGGAAAGTCCCAGTGAAGCCAGGTGGACGGCGAAGCCAGATCTCCTCGTGCAGGCTACCCTGCAGGAACGCAGTGCTGAAGTCGAGAGAGTGAAGCTCGTAGTCGCGCTGAGCGGCTATGTGCAGCAGCACCCGAAGAGTGGTCATCTTCGGGGTGGGAGAGAAGGTCTGAAAGTAGTCAACTCCCTGCCGCTGACTGAAGCCACGAGCAACGTACCGTGCCTTGAAGACAGGTGGAGAGCCCGGCGGCCGCTTCACCCTGAAGATCCACATGCCACTGACGATGTTCGCCCCAGGAGGGGGAACCGCGTCAACGTAGGTGCCTGTGGACTTCCAAGAAGCCATCTCTGCATCCATAGCTGCCTGCCACTGAGAGGAGTAGGGACCCTCTACGGCCTCCGCGTAAGAACGTGGAGTCGGGATGTCTAGTGCATCCGGGTCTCCCTCAGGGGCAAGCAGTACAGACGCGAGATGAGGTGAAGCAGCCGCTAGACACTGTAACTCCTCCTGCCTGTCCTCTAGGACGTCCGTGCCAAGAGCACACTCACCCCCGACGGACGGAGGACAGACAGACTCAGCAACAAGACTAGCAGCGTAGTCGAGACGACAGCGGGCAGCAAAGTCAACGAGCTCAGCGACTAGAGCAGACGCAGCAGTGGACTCAAAAGAGGGGTCAGTGACGACAGTAGCAAGCAGACGCGTGACAGTAGGACTCGCAGTGCGAAGAGAGTCCGACTCAGGGTCGGCAAGCGCAGGAAGAGAGGACTCAGGAGGAGAAGGCAAAGGGGCACGCAGAGGAGCAGTGGACGGACGCAGAGACATCCGGTGCGTGCCAGTGACAGGAGGAGGACGCTGACGCGAACTGCGACCACTAGCGCGAGCAGCACGAACAGGCGACGCGGGACGAGACGCAGGCTCACGACGCTCAGCAAGACCTCCAGTAGGACCAGTGTAAGGAGAGGGAGCAGGCAGTGGAGAGGAAGGCTCCAGTAGGGACTGCGACTGGACAGGCGGTGGACCCTCTACTGGAGGAGAAAGACCAAGAACCTGCTGTAGGAGCGGAACGAAGTACGCCCGAGGCCGCGCGGCAGCTCCAGACTCAGCAGGGACAGCACCAGCACCCTCAGCTACAGCACCAGCGCCACCCACACCTCCAGCGGCAGGACCAACAGCAGCAGGCTCAGCATGAACGCCCTCAGCAGCTCCAGCTCCAGGAGGACCCGCAGGTCCAGCAGCTCCGGGACCGGCAGCACCCGCACCCTCGACGGTCGAAGAAGCTCCAGCTCCAGCTCCAGCAGCACCTCCAGACTCAGCAGCACGCCTCCAGCGGCGAGCGAAACACTCGCGCAGCTCCTGTGGAGAGAGGGGCTCCCGGCGAGACGCAGCAGCAGGAGAAACCCCAGGCTCAGCAGCTCCAGACGCAGCACCCCCAGGCTCAGCAGCTCCCAGCTCAGTACCCCCAGGCCCAGCAGCTCCCGACCCAGCACCCCCAGACCCAGCACCTCCAGGCACAGCACCCCCCGGCTCAGCACCCCCAGGCTCCGCACCCTCAGGAGTAGCACCCTCAGGCCCAGCACCCCCACCAGTAGCACCCCCAGGCTCAGCACCCCCGCGCACAGCACCCCAGAGTCAGCACCCCCAGGCTCAGCACCCGCAGCAGCACCAGAGTCACCAGTAACCTCGACCGGGTCAACGGCGTCTACCTGGGACACACCTGAGGGGGCAGGAACCTGAGGGGGGAGGGGGTCTACCGGGGGGGGAACCGGCACAAGGAAGTCCGGGGGAGGGGGGAGGGAAGGAGTGCGGTAGGGGAAGAGACGGTAGAAGGGGACTGACTCGTCGAACGTGACGTCCTGGGAGGACAGAACACGACGAGAGGAGGGGTGGTAAAACTGCCACCCTGGGGCGTCAGTGGGGAAGCCAAGGAAGACACAGGGAGCAGCACGAGGGGACAGCTTGTCCGCAGACAAGTCGCGGACAAACGCCCGAGATCCCCAGACACGGAACACAGACGCATCGCCAACCTTCCCCGTCCACAGCAAGACTGGGGACATCGCAGGCCGAGAGACCCGGGGGTGAAGGTTGAGCTGATGCGCCGCGTACCTCACCGCAAACGGCCACAGAAAATGGGGGGCAGCCGCATGCATCATGGACGTACGAGCGACATCCATGACCATGCCAATGCGGCGCTCAGCAATCCCATTTTGCTGTGGTGAGTCCGGAAGCGTGAAGGTCTGGCGGATCCCCCGTGCACGACAGTAGTCCCGCAGAAGGCGAGAAGAGAACTCTCCGCCTCTGTCAGAGTGCAGACGCAGAACAAGAAAGTCCGAGCCGAAGCTCTTCCTGAGCTGGAGACGAGCCTCGCGGATCCAGTCGATCAGCACCTCAGTGACCGCACCCTTGCTGCGCAAGGGGAGGACTGTGGTGTAACGCGAGTAGTCGTCAACCACCAACAGGAAGTAGCGCTCGTAACCCTGCCCACGGACGGGGGCTGGGCCCCACACATCCATGTGAAGCGTCTGCAGGGGAGCCTCTGTCGGGGGGAAGTGGGAGGAGTGAGGAGTAGCCCGGAGGCGACCCTCGACACAGGGGACACAGGAAGGTCCTGGCCCGGAGGGGAGAGGAGGGAGAGACTGGGGAAGACCAGAGACAAGGACACGGGAAGCCATGCTCCGAAGACGGGGCAAGGAGGGGTGGCCAAGACGGTGGTGCCACAGGAGAGTCCTCGTGAGACAAGAGGCGACAAGAACAGGGGGCAGACTCAGGACCTGACCGGGACGCAGCAGCAAGTACCTGACCCGACGCAGCCACCTGACCAGACGCAGGGACAGGAGGAGACTCAACGGTCAGGGTGTAGAGACTCGACCCCGGCCGACGCGAGAACGTGGCCAGGTGTCGGCCTGTGCGTGCCTCCGTGCAGTGGGTCACCCGCTGACTCGCAGGAGTGAACTGGTGAACACCCCCATCCTGCAGGTCCGCTCCACTCACCAAGTTCGTGGAGAACGAGGGAAGATACAGACCCGACAGGGTGCCCGAAGGGGCAGCCGGACACGGGAGGACAGTGGAGAAGTGAGACAGGACAGGACCTCCAGAGGGGTTAGCAAGGGAGACTGCAACCGGCCGGCCGAGCGGCGTAAGGGTAGTGCGGTCTCGAAAGAAGGAGCGAGAAGCTCCGGAGTCAAGTGTGAAAGTGAGGGAGGACGAGGACGACGCAGTACCTGAGAGCGCAGTCTCACCAGTACCTGAGAGCGCAGACGCACTGGCACCTAGAGCAGCAGCCTCACAAGCACCTAGCGCAGCAGTACCAATGCCCGGGTCGGGCCGGAAACAACGGTAACCCTCATTCTCCTCACTATAATCCACAACATACATAGCAGTAAGGATAGCATCAAAATCAAGATCAAAGATCGCTACACCAGCCCTGAGAAGCTCATCCCAGCGAGGGATCTCACTAGCCCCAGGGAACTGCTGACGCCAGGCGTCCGTCAGGCGGCCAAAGCAGCGCTGGGTGGCGTGGGCACCCCCACACTGCTCACCCGCGCGGTCGCCGGAACGAAGAACGTAGGTGCAGGGACCAGTACCCCCACCCCTCTGACGCCTAGCGTACCACTCACGAAGCTGCTGAGGCGAAGGGATGTCCCGCGAGCGCTGCTGCTGCTGCCGGTGCGAGCGCTGGCCACCACCACCACCGCTACGCTGCTGGGTACCACCCCGACCAGCTCCACCTCCTCCACCACCACTGCCTCCTCCGCTGCCGCCTCCACCACCTCCACCTCCGCCGCCTCCACCTCCGCCGCTGCCTCCACCACCACCGCTGGCTCCACCACCACCGTCTCCGCCGCTGCTGCCACCACCACCACCACCACCCCCGCCACTAGTCCCGCCGCCACCCCCACTCCCTCCGCCGCCACCGCCGCCACCGCCACCGCCCCCTCCAGCTCCACTCGCGCCCTTGCCCCCCTTGCCCTTGCTGGAGCGACGTCTCCCACTAGGGCAGACGCCGCGCCGACCGACTCAAGACCAAGCAGGTCGGCAGCAGCAGCAGAGGCAACAGAGGGCAGCAAGGGGGAAGGAGAGCACCCCTCAAAGATGGGGGTGCGAGGGTCACCACGAGAAGCACCTACAGCGACTATGCTCTTCTCCGCTGCGAGGAGGGCCTTCTCGAGGAGGTCGACGGTGAGGGTGGTGGGACAGACTGCGAGAAAGTGGTCCCTGACGACGCGAAGGGAGTCAGGGAGGCGCGCGACTACGTAGTAGAGAGCGATGTACATGGGGGGGGGGGTTCTTAGCGCAGAACTCAGCAGGAAGGGCGGCGCGGTAGCGAGTGTCACTAGTGCGGAGGTGCGTAATGAGGTCAGCGACAGTGGGAAAGGCAGAGAGGTCAGGAAAGAGGTAGGGAAGCATGAGACGGCTCAGTGCAGCAGTGGCAGGGGAGGAGTAGCGCGCAACTACAGCGTCGTACAAGGTCTAAGCACTCTTGTACTGACTAAAGTGCGCACGCTCAGAGGTAGGGAGGTGGCGACGCACAGCAAGACGTGCAGCAGCATCGCGGGTGGCCCACTTAGAGCGGACAGCGGGATCAGCATCAGCAGCAGGAGCAGGAGAGGCGCCAGAGGTGAGGTCAAAGAGAGAAAGGTCGTCAGCCCTGTCGCACTGTAAGAACAGCTGCAGGTCGTCTAACCAGACCTCAAAATCAATGGCGCGACCCTCAGCGTCAAAAGCTAGGACACTAGGGGTAGCCATGGCGACGACAGCGACGCAGTGCAAGCAGTAGGGAAAGAGCTCGCAGTGGCAGTGGGACTGTGCTCACCAGGCAGGGCAGGTCGAGTAGGTATGCAGAAAGGCGGCTCAGCGACCTGGCGGCTCGGGTGCTGGGCGGCTCGGGCGCAGGGCGGCTCGGCTCCCGGGCTGCTCGGCGGCAGGGCAGCTCGGGGCAGGGCGGCTCGGCTCCCGGGCGGCTCGGCGACAGGGCTGCTCGGGTTGCAGGGCGGCTCGGCTCCCGGGCGGCTCGGCTGCAGGGGCGGCTCGGCTCCCGGTAGTAGGGGTGGGGCGCTGGGCCGCGCGAGAAGACGGCCGGGGGGCCGCTACGTAGTAGGGCGGCGGGGCCGCGGTCGAACAGGCGGCTGGGGCCAGCGGTCGGAGCCAGCGGCCGGGGCCGCGATCGTAGTGGGGCGGCGGCCGGGCGTAGGCGGGGCGGCAGGGCCGCGTCAAAGCAGGCGGCTGGGGGCCGCGACAGGAGCGGGCGGCGGGGCCGCGGTCGAACAAGCGGCTGGGGGCCGCGGTCGTAGCAGGCGGCCGGGGCCGCGGTCGTAGCAGGCGGCGGCCGCGGCGTAGCGGGCGGCAGGGGCCGCGTCGAGCAGGCGGCCGGGGGGGCCGCGACAGGAGCGGGCGGCTGGGCCGCGGTC